AAGTCCCTGTGTCCGGGGGCATCAATGATGGTCACATAGTACTTGCTGGTCTCAAACTTCCACAGAGCGATGTCGATGGTGATACCACGCTCACGCTCGGCCTTCAGCTTGTCCAGCACCCAGGCGTACTTGAAGGAGCCCTTTCCCATCTATATAACCAACAACACAAACGTATTAAAGGAAAGGTGAGACGAATGAGAAACCCTCTTTTCATCATGGTAAAATAACTCAAACAATCCCTGAGAAACTTGGTAATTTTGGCTTCGTTACTTCCCTATTTTATATCTTATTCAAATTAAATTAAGTAACAAATTGTATTTTCAACATGTCCTAAAATAGCTACGGTGCAATACAATATTATATAAAAATATTTGTTTTCTTTTTTGGGTTTGCACCCTGGTTTGGGTGCCATATTTCACTACAAAACAACAATTTAATGCATAGAAATGTACATTTACCTTGTATTATTAAAGTTATGCAAATAAGACTGGGAAATTTTGACCATTTTTCTCTATAAACATGAACAACAATTAGCATTATTTTTGTTTAGATCATCAGATGTTTTGAGTTCATTTACTTTTCTACATCATTTAAGGCTGTAAAATGATTCATCTGTCTTACTTAATTATCTTTTATTGGGTTTGATTTATACAGATTAGAGTTTTTATGTTTCTATTTCTGACAACAACAAAAAAGATTTGAGATCTTTGACCAAGACACTGTCCTGTTCAATCATATTTCTTTAACATTAGGCTTTTGGGTGTGTCCTGAAACAGAATAAATAATTAGATATAATGCCATGTATTCTAATTTTACACAAGCAATGTATACAATTATTTCTAGCCATTATTTTTTTCTAGGTTTATAAAACGTTAAGGGGAGCTGAAAAATACCAGATTCCTGCCTCAGAAGGCAGCACATCCATTTTTCAACAGTAGATGGCAGTTGTGACCAACACATTTAGTGTACGTCACTTGTCAGCACTGGTGAAATGCCCGTCCATGTCTCATACTGTTGAATGACCGGGCAGAAAACCAACCTCAGCTGCCTCTTTCTCGAACTTCTCGATGGTTCTCTTGTCGATCCCTCCGCACTTGTAGATCAGGTGGCCTGTGGTTGTGGACTTGCCGGAGTCGACATGGCCAATGACCACGATGTTGATGTGGATTTTTTCCTTTCCCATTTCGATTTACCGGCTGCAAACAAATGGGCAGCATTTTGGCTTTCTTATTAAACATTTCAAAGCCTAAATGTGTCTTTAGACGACAGGCGGAGTGGGTCCCCTGGGAGACGTTACGGCTCTGACCGTTGGCCAAAGTTCACGCGCAACTGTCCGTTAATTCAAGTTTATAACTGTTTTTAGTAATTAGGACGTTTTGCAGCACTAAATTAGCTATTTATGAATATTTAATAAAACTAGACAAAAATGTTAACATCTTTGCAGTATAAACTATACAAAAAAGGAGAATAAGATTCAACAGCCGTGTTCTGACGTCATGGGAGTCGTTACATTTAGTTAAATACATCCACCAGACCTGCGCACTAAATTAGAAAAAAAGTTCGTTTACGACACCGGAAAGTGACGCCGGTGAGTCACGCGCCATGTGCTACACCGGCCACTGGCCTCCATGTTGGGCACGGCCGCCATGTTGTTAAGCGGTGCATGCGCGTACCCGCCCCACAGCGATGTAGAGCTGTGCGCGTTCACGAAGCTAAGAGGGTACAAGCGTGACTGGCAGAAACACCTTTGGTTCTGCATTTTTGGGAATACTTGAGTCACACAAATCCACGCCATTTAAAATAAAAAAACATGACATGCAGACATATGCACACAGTCCATTTTCCCCTATTGAAGCAAAGCAGCATCAAATTAGAGCACAAGTTTTGCCAGATAAGCTCCTCCAATTACATCTTAACCTCAAAACAAATTGCGCATTTCAAAATACTCCACTTTCAGGATTTAGACTAAAAATGTACCTACCTGTGCCCAGCAACTATCACAGTGTCCTGGAATTAAGGCGGAGGCAAAAAAGGACAGATTGTGTGCTGTGCCTGGTTTTTATACTGCTACAGAGGAGGGAGGGCTAGCAGTTTCTGGTTGGCGTCGGGCTGAAATCAGGGGTGCCATTGGCTGGGGTGACAGGCTCGCTGTGCAGGCGATTGGATGAGAAGACAGCCTGGTCAAGAAACAGCTGCAGCACAGACGCTTTCGCCTGTCAAAAGGCTAAAAACTACACCAACTGCAACAGTGAAGGACCCAGACAAGCCAGTTGCAATTTTTTCAAAGACATTTATTTTATTAGTTACCAGCAGCTTTTTCTTTCCAATTAAATTTGTGGCATTTAAACATCGAGATGCACTTCTTAACCTTTTTTCCTTTCGACTTAACTGAGAGAAGAGGCATTGCCCTGTGATTCAGTAAGTGACAATGCCACAGAGTTCTTTTTTCCTGCGAAAACTTTTGCGATGGGTTTTAATCAGCATAAGCCAGTCCTTGAGGTGAGAGCTGTGCCTCAGAGAAGATGACCCAGGATGGGAGGATACAGGGGAGGGGGTGGCCCGCTGCTGCCGGCACACGTCGGATCGCTGGATGTCCTGCACGACCATTCATTTCTTCTTCTGGGCCTTCTCTGCGGCCTTGGTTGTCTTTCCGGAGATCTCCTTGACGTCAACGGCCTTGATGACGCCGACGGCAACGGTCTGCCTCATGTCACGCACAGCGAAGCGACCTGGAGGGGCAGAGGGGTGAGCTCAGTTTCACAGTTTTCCTCACAGCTTTGGGTGCGTGGAGCGTTAGGAGGCAGACTTACCGAGGGGAGGGTAGTTGGAGAAGGGCTCCACCACCATGGGCTTCTGTGGGATGAGCTTGACGATGGCGGCATCTCCAGACTTGACGAACTTGGGGTTGTCCTCAAGCTTCTTGCCAGAACGACGGTCGATCTTCTCGATGAGCTCCTTGAACTTGCAGGCGATGTGAGCAGTGTGGCAGTCCAGGACGGGGGCGTAGCCCTCGTTGATCTGGCC